AAAAAATCATTTTTTTGCATTATTTATCAGTAGAAAGCCTTCGAAACGTGTCCTGGAAATATTACGTTGAAATCTGTAAAAATATGAGATACGTTTCGATCGCTTTTATAAAGTTTAGAGGAACGTGTTTCTTCAGGACTCGAAGGTGACAAAGTCTCATTATTTAATTAACGATAATGAACAGGAAAACGTTTCCGAGGAGCGACAATAGGCATTATCTTTTTTCGCGAATAACCAGCGCGACGACGCGTCGGATCGTAAACGATCGACGACGATGCACAGAAAATGGAACCTGTCGCGTCCAGTTTGGCGAGTCGAGTGAACTTGAACGGGCTCGAACTCGCTCCTTGAAAGTCCGGTATCGGGGACGGGGATAAAAAACGATAAATATCTCACTCCCGCGAGCGAATTAATTCCTTACTTCCTACCTGACGTGTATGCCGTTGGATGCCTTGAGAGAGGAGAAAATGTATCCGAAGAATGTACTCGTATTCGCCCCAGCCTTTTAGCGTCGCGCGATAAATGGCCTTTTCGAGCGTCGGGGATCGAGCGAAACGCAAGGAACGAGATACTCTTTACACTGTTGCAACGTACGTTTTTGTCTTTCGCTTTTTTTTTTTACCGTGCTGATAAATAAAATGTCACTCTCGCGCTCGCTGGCTCTCGTATTACTCGGATATCTCTGACGCGTTGTCCGTTCGTATGACTGATGTTTGAACAAACAAACAAAAAATCACGTATAAATCGCGTGGAAAAAAACATAACTGGTTCGCGTAACCGACGCGTTACAGATGCACGCCGATTTCGAGACAATAAATTTTCGATGCTACGGAACGTAGAAGCAAATAACCCGGAATTTTCTGCTTTCGCGAACCTCAGTCTCCGCCCTTTTCTCGATCAAGAATCACGGTGGAAGGAACAGCGGTTAAATTGAGAGAGGAACCAGGATAGGAATATGAAAGCGTAACGATTGTCGCGAATATAATTAAAGATTAAAATGAAGTTCGATTCGACGATGATATTGACTAGAGGGGGAACCGGAAGCAGAGAAATCGAGGGGAAGCCAATCGCGAGAAGGCGAAATGGTCACGCGACGTCGGCGTTAATATTCTAGGATATTGGCTGCCGGAGAATTAAATAATGGCAACGAAAATTACTGCAAAAAGAGCGATTCCGATCGCCATAGGGGGTGGGAGTCGAAATTAATCGATTCTGCGCGAACGAACTCGATGTTCGAGTGATTTTCAATTTTCTCCGTGTCATTTTCTATTCGTTCGACTCGCGGAGAACTAAATAGAACCCCGCGATAAAAGAAACGTTCGTTTCCAAACTGCTTTCTGCCCGAAGTTATCGTTGGTTCTCGAAACGCGGAATAAGATCGAAATTCGTTCGTGTTTTCGATGCGTAATCGAACAAAGTACGCGGTGCATCGGCGCGTTCGCAAGAAAATGTCGTGATGCAAGTTGTTCGTAAGGAAACTTGAAATTCCACGTCGACGAACCTGAAGAATCGAGAGCACGCAGTTTCGTTTCTTTGGTTGGTGGGGATGGATGAAAAATCGAACGAAACTACAACGAGCAGAGAAAAAACAAGGGTATCGATCCACGTGGACCAGCGTATGTGGGATTGCACCGAAATGCCAGAGTAATGAATTGCACCAGCAGTCGATTTGCGGCGACGCTGCGTCAACTTGTCGCACACCCCTGGTTCGTTAATGGTAAAAAAAATGATTTAGAGGGGGCTCGGAGATAATCGTAGGAAGCAATTGCAACCCTTGCCACAAATATTGTTAACCGACCAATGATATTAACGTTTACGGTCTGGAAAGTCGCGACAGTCGAGCTTTCTTAATTAAATTTTCCAAGTTTCTTTTCTCTCATGGCGAAGCAGACCATTTGCTTTCATGCAAAGCCGTCCCTCAAGACCATTTATTTGAGAGAAACATCACTCGTTTCGGACAGTATCGCGTGTTTAGGGACACTCTGCATTTAGCCGGGACGTACATTTCCTTTTCGGATACGAAACATGCGCCGCAATTTACCAGAATATCGGCGACCCCGAAAGGCAAACGGTCCGCCATTGCTCGTCGGTCGTATATATTTTTCGTTACAGTTAGTTAGGTTTATTTGCAGGTCGTAACAGAACGCGTCGTTAATTAGGAGGCACAATACGCGACAGCGACGATAAAAGGGCTTTCGCGTGGTCGAGTAATAATTGCACCGGCCAATTTTACCCGCGATCAAAACGTCCAATTAGGAGGCTCGCAAATCACAATTTGCTACAGCGGGTACGCCGTGTCGCTCGGGTAATAAAATTTGCAATTTTTCCGCGGGGAACGTCCGGTTCCACGTCACTTATTTGGCGTGAAAGTTTAGGCTACCAGCTCTCCTGTTTCTTTTCCATCGCGGGCTAAACAATATCGCTGTACAAGCATTTTACGTTTCATCCATTGACCCATCGACCACGAATGCAATTGCATAAACAACAATCGATTTTTATGGTTCAGCGTAATAAAACTTTTATACTTTTCAGATGTTCGACACGGTTTTTTTATTTTTATGAAGATCAAGATAGCGTCTGAAAGATCAAGATTAGCCGATCGATACCAGTTCAGGGTTCCTTTTTCGTGTTAAATTCATCGTCGATATTTAACAATGCAGAATCGAAGAGTTTGAACAATATAATTAATCAAACTGGTTTGCATTATAAAGAAGGGTGGAAATTCTATTGAAAATGATTCATATTTCATGGAACTGTACTTCGTTTCGAAGCTGTCGTATCACAGTTGCGGAAGTTAATTAACTCGAGAAGAATATTTTCTGCAAAATGCCGAATTTTCGCGCGAAGATAATTGTATAAATCGTGGCCATTGTTTCCTAACCGGGTCTTGGTGGAGCTTAATCTCGATCGCGGACTAATGATTCATGCAAATCCACAGAATTATACGTACAAACTGTTGGCTCATAAACAAGCAAAGTGAAATCCCATTTTACTTTCCAAACAGAAACTGTGTGCAACGCTATCCGCAACGTATACAGTATGTACATCTATATAATTATTGCACAATTTTCACACATGCATTTACCACTGACGAAAGATGATAACAGAGGGAGGGAAAGATCCAATTAAAAGAATACAAACTGGTGAGTGACAGGACTATTTGTTTCGCGATACGGTAATGAGTATTTGTTGGAAACATTGGGGAAATTTATTGCCCCTGCTCTTAAATCCTAAACGAACGTCTGGTAGTAGCCGGAATGAAAAATGGCCGAAAGATTCTCAAGAGGCAAGATCGATCGAATGTTGCGAAGCAATGTTTGCTAATTACGGCCGGAGCATGGCTGTCGAAGATAAGAAAAATTGTTTCTCGCGAGGGAGTATAAAATCCTGACATATTTGCGCTCCGCAAACCCAGTGTTGATATAATAGCATGCACGGAGTTTCTCAGACTTATCTCGCGCGAATTACGACGTGCTTCGCGGTTTAATTTCTGTAAACAATGTCTCCTATTGTTTATAATGCAATATTTCCCCCCCGTTCGATACGATTCGACCACCGGTAATCTCTTAATAAATAGTTTGAGAAGCACGATATTCCCCAGGACAAATATTTGGCGCCTAAACAACCCCCTGGTCGCCAACGTCGGGACGATTAATTAGCAAAATGAATTTTCGTAATCTGTTTGTCGTTTACGTAATTCTCGCCGGCGCGTTTACAACGTTCCGTTATCTGTTCCAGTGGTTAGCAGTCTCGGAAAACGCATTGCCATTGCTTTATAATAAACTGTCGCTGGCAAGACCATATTGCATCGCGAGGCTATTTCGCTAGCAAAGCGGATAGACCGTACCGTTTACCAGTTTATTTTATCGAAGCCACGTGCGCGTGTAAAATCGTCGAATTAACTTTTAATGAATGGAACACGCGGCTGAATAATCATCCCCGCGCGAGATCGCACAGAAAATTATATGCTTTGCGGCGTAATGGATTATTGAACCCTTTAAAACCGCACGCGACGTCCGGTAATTTATTCTTTATCTTTCTCGTTCACACTCTCTTTCGTAATTTCCGACAAATATAAATATCGCTTTATAACGAGCCTGGAACCCTGTATCAATATAACTGGTAATTTCATGGAAACGCGTCTCGATAAACGCCGCGTGCATCGATCAAGTTGCAAATATTCAAATAACGCGGATTTAATTGCGCGGTAAGAACGAAATCCTCGAATCGAAATAGATCATAGCGTGACAACGTCCAATTGTGTTTAACGGCCGTGAGAACTATGCACTCTCGGTTGGCTAAATTTTATGTGAGAAGTAATGTCGAACGTACGTAACACGGGTGACGTATACTTTTTATTACCCCTGGCTATTGCCTTCTTAAAAGTCGACCAGCGTGCACTCGTTCACCCTTTCTGCTGGAAGCCATAAGACACCCCTGTACCACACGTTCGCCGGCACTTCCGCTCTAAAGCGTTTATCGAACATCGATTGGCCCTGGAAAGGAATATGAACGATCTTCAGTTTCACCCGTGGTCAGATCCATTGCAATTAAATCGATTTATCTGACAATTTAAAGAGGAACTTGGACTTATCGTTCGAGGGATTTCGACGGAGCGGCGGTGTTTGCTCGCCGCGATTAGTCATTAATTATATCGAAAAGTAAAAGGGGAGCAGCAAGTTTGTCCTAGTTGTTGGGAGAACTCATCGCGCCCTTTGCGGGCCTGGCAATGAACCTCGTATAGAAGGAGAAAGGCGTGGATATACGTGATTTACCAGATCCAGTTTGTGCACCTGAACTGGAAGACCCACAGAGTCAGGGAAGAGCGGAGGAGACGCGTAGCCGCGGCTTTTTCACTCGTTTCGTAGCTATATAAGAAGGTATCGATGGTATCGATCTACCTCAAACGATTCTCTCGCGTGGCTTCACAGTTTTCATGCGTACCACGGACCGTCTCGCAGTCCTATAGTCGAGGAAGGTTCTCGTCTAAAGAAATTCAAATGAAGAAACTGGTGAGTGCGCCGCGACGTCGTCCCGGGGGAATCGCCGACGGCGATAATAATCGATAATTGTTCCTCCAGGGGATAATCATCGCGATGACGGTGGCTGTCGCCGCGTACAAGGACGGGAGGAGAACCCTATCGCCGTTGGAGGATTTTCCGCCTTATCAAGGACCGCGTCAGTATCCGTCTTTCCACGAACAGCATCAGCCTTTCCGGGAACAAGGACCGTTCAAGGCGCAACAGTATCAATCGTACAGGCAACGGCCCTATCGCCAGGACCTCTCGTCTTTTCCCGAACGACTGTCCTTTAGGGATCAGTCGTTGCTACGAGACTATTCGTTGACGAAAAACCGACCGTTCTACGTGGACAACTCGTCCTTCAGAGACGTCCCGGACTCCAAGGGACAGGCTTCGTTTTTCATAGACGGTGCGTCGTTCAGGGATCAACGGTTTAGGGAGCCAACGTTCAGGAACGAGCAGAGCTTTCAGGATCAGTCGCTGGACGATCAGTACTCTTTCCAGCAGCAATCCTTCGCCGACAACTACCGATTCCCGGACTCGTACGACAAGCAGATCAACTCCTACAACGAGCAGAAGCAAGCTGGTCAGCAGCAGTTCGGCAGAGACTCGGAGTATTTGAAACACGGTAAGCGAAAAATAGGGAGCTTGTCGAGAAACGGAAAGATTATTTTAATCTTTAGGAAACCACGGCCTGGGTTACGTTTCCATGCCGCCGATCTCATCCTACGGGAACCCTCTGCCATTAAACGAGGAAATGTCTACGACGATTGCACCGTCGACGGCGTCGCCAATCACCCAGCCGTTGCAGCAGTCTACAGTCTCATCCGCCGTTCAGGATAACACAAAACATCATACGTCCGCAACTTCCCAACCGAAAATGGCTTTGCACGGGGCGACAATACCTGGGAAATCCGATACGGTGAGCGAAATACACCCTTGGCACGTCGGTACCTTGCCATTCAACCCCGTCGACACATCCTTTTCACATTTTCCTTCGTTTCCAGTCGCGCAGTTCACGCAGGGGGGCCACAAACTTCCTGTAATAACGATGAAAGTCGAGATAAATTTTCATTCTTCGATACAGCTTCCATCCATTTGAGTTTCTTTACGATTTCTGTGTATCTGTCCAACGGAACACAGTGACCGTAGTTTCACGCGAGAAACTCTCGATTAAAACTGCTTTCATAACCCCAAGAAATAGCGGTCATAATTTTATCCGCATCTGGTCGAGTCTTAAATTTAAGCGGTGCTCCAGATCCACGGTGCATTATTCGTTGCTTCCTTTTTACGTCGTAACCGTACCTCCAAATCTCATCACCGAAGAATTAATCTCGTTCTTGTTATATCTTTTGCAAGATGTTGCGAGAACATTCGCTGGAAATATTTATAAAACATGTTTCGGTGAATTCGAGGTCGATGCAGTATCTTTTCGAGAACGTCCAATCAACCGATGCTCCGAAGTTTTCGGGAACGGACCCACTCGAGCGTCGCGACGCCACCGGGTCTTAAAGGGTCCAATAAAAGTTTGTAATTGGTTTTAGCTGGCCGACGGTTCCGCTACCAGTCCGCCTCCGACTGTTTCGACGGCGCCAGCCTCGTCGGTCATTTCGAAGCAATCTTCGAACCTGGCTCATCCACCGACAGTTCTGCCCACGGTGGCCAGCTTACCTGTCATGGCCACGGAATCTCCGATCATATCCTTCGGTAGACAGTACGTAATGGCACTGTCAGAATTGCTTACTCGCTTCAACGGCTGCGACCTTTTCTCTTTGGCCGTCCGTCTGTTTCCAGGAGACGTTTCCGGAATTGCCGCGTTATTATTTATGCAGAGCGCAGCGGCGATCGTACGATCGGGAAGAACGTGCAAAGATCCTCCGTCGAAAATACGCAGCTTCTACTCGGCGCGCATAATATTCTCGTTTCGTCCGGAAAACACGCGAAAAAGTCGCGGAAGGATATCGACTTTCTCGAGAACGAAGCTAAATGCGAAATTATCTCTTTCCCGGTTGCACTACGATCGTCGCTGTGTCTTGAATAACGGTGGATATTTATCCTCGAGGAGCGGATCACCGAATCGACCGGAGATGTCTCTCGAAGCACGATTAAATTAGTATCCGCGTTATCGAGTCCTGCGCTTTTCGGTCTCGTTTGTTTCTTCCTCCAGGACGCTGTCCCCGGTCGACTTCCCGTCGACAAAGTTTACGGTGCCATCGTCTTATTACGTAACCGGCGGTCTGAAGAACAAACTACAGCAGTCGTTGCTGAACTATCTGCTGACCCAGCAGGCGAAAAGTGCCATAAAAAGCAACGAAGAGAGCTCGGTGGTGAATTACGCGCTGCCGGATGTATCGAACAACAGTTTGAACAAGATCCACAGCACGGTGTCGAACTACGTACTTCCGGAGGAATCCAAGGATGCGTTAAAGGACAACTTGCGAAGCTCCTTGTTGAGCTATCTGCTGCAGCCGCAGTCCAATCGCGCTCTATCGTTTCAACAATCTTCGCTACCGGAAACTGTGAATTACGTTCCACTGGGCAACGCGTTGGTCGAGAGACCGAAGCTTTCGATACCGAGTATACCGATCGGAACTTTGTCCGGCGTTTCTCGGCCGCTGCAGACCGTAAACTACGTACCCACGATGCCCAGAGTCTCGGCCTTCGTGACTCAAGACTCCTTGTCGTCCTCTGCACTTCCCTTAGGTACGTCTACATTTTTACTCATAAAATTCCAGGGCCAAATCGTTCTTCTATCGCCCGAGACGGTCTCCAGGGACCGTTTTGTCGAGAGAAATTTAACCTTTTTAACTCCGTTTTCACCCGCCCACCGTCGCTGACGCGGCGAATTTATCGGCCTCGCTTTCCACCGCCTCCGAGGCGGTTATAATTTTCAAAATTCCAACGTCTCCAATTTCTCTCCGCCGCGGAAATCGTCCGTGTGCGGACCACGACTCCATTTTCTCTCTTTTTAAATTCGAGCTCGGGAAACCCGAAGTTAACGGGCTCGTTGAATTCGAAGGAACATTTTCGCGTAGAAAAGACACGAGTCGGAAATCCGTAGATCAAATTTCAGTTTTTGTTTACCGAACGGATGCACGGTTTGTTTACCTTCGAAGATGCAATCTGGATAAAGATATCGACCATGTCCCTGTTGCATAACACGCGAACGTCTCTCGCACCTAACCGCCTTGTTTCTGTTTCAGGTGCGACGTTGGCCTCGGGCTTGGCTCCCAGCGTCTCAGACTCTCAGTCCACGAGCATATTCAACAGTCTACCTGGCGGGTTGAACGGCATATCAGCGAGCATGCCTGGCAGCCTGTTATCGGGCGTTCCTACCAGCATACCAACTTTGAACTTGGCTCAGAATTTCCAACATTTTGGCCAGCTGCGACCGTTCGAAGCTGCAAGGAGTCAGCCGCTCTCCTACGCCACAGGTATATCGATCGGATCCGAGAGTCGAGGCGTTGAACGCGCGTCGAAACAGACAATCGAAAAGCGGATATAAAAATTTGATGCAATCGAACAGAATGTAACAATTCCATTCGACGGATCGCTACGAGAGAATCGACGCGATCCAAACTCGTTTACCGATTATTATGCGGTTCGCGTCGCGGTGGGCGTGTCCGAGATCGTTCTGCTTTCACTTGGAAAGTACGAACCGCGAAACTCATGCGTCTCTGTGCAGGATTGCAGATGCAGTTGGGCGGTTACGGAGGGATAGATTACGCTTTACGGCCGAGTAATCTTGCCCCACGGCCGCTGGAGCTCGGCATCGCGAAAGTGGGCTTAAGTTTGCCGGAATTACAGCGACACCAGCTTCCTACGTTCTCCAAGGTAAATTTTCAACGTGTAATTACGCCCGCTACCTGCCTCGGAGTGGCTGCTAACCACCCACCCCGTCAAACGAGCAAGAATTTTGGGAAAGTAACGCAGACGCTCGAAGACGCTTCTCTTAAAAGGCAGTCGAGCCACGGAGTTATCAATTTAAATTTTTGCCTTTCACTGAGACGAATTACTTTACTAGTTCGACATTCGCGGAATTTATTTCGTCGGTGGTTCGACGATGGCGGAGATTTATGCTCAGGGACAGTATAGCATCTGGCTATTATTCGTACACAGGGGGTGGTTTCGCGCGTAACAACAATTACCAGTTGTCACCAAATGGTTAATTGAAACGGAATTATTTACATTGCTGTTTTAGTCGTATCCAGTTTCCTCGAATTTTGGTCACGACTGGTTTCCATTTCGATTAACGTTCTTATTACTATAATTTGAAATAATGATTCGATCGCGTAATTTTACCGGGTGTTGGAACCTTCCTAAAGTGTTACTTGATACGTTGCAACGCGTTATTACACTCTGATAGCGCCGGTTACAGAAGACGAGTTGATAGCCATCGTCCTCGCTAAATTTCCCACGTTCTCAAAGGAATTCGTGGTTTTCGCCGTGCACGAAGTTTTCGAGTTTGTATTGGTTTATGCATCGCGTAGTCTGGCAAGTCGCTAAACTTCTTCCCCGACGCATTCTGGGAACACGAGTATCGCGATACGTGTATCAGAAAGTATCTCGCTGTAAAGTCTCTTTATTCGTGCCTCGATACGAGGGAATATTCTGCAAATACTCGCGTCACGTAATATTGTTTGTCGGGGGCTCCTTTCGCGCGCAGGAATTTTAAACGATGATCCATCGATCGCAGAATATCCATACTTTAACGGAGGAGTCTTGGGATTTCGCGCGTGGAAATACTTACGCGAATCCAGCTCGTACGGAATTTGTTCAGCCGCTCGTGCAACTTAAAACCTATGAAATCGCCGCCGAGAATTTTCTATAAAAAAATATCGGTTACATTTCTGATCGACCTTTTCGGAACGATATTTGGACGTTATTCGCCGTTTGTTTTACCAGCGGCGGGCAATGAAAATAAACCTTGATTTGTGGTGATGTCGACGCGGTTTTATTATGCATGTGGTTTGCTTTGCTCTTGTATTAGCGATGCGGGGGTAAAAAGGTAACCCGAGAATGACGGGGCGCGCCTTAAACATTCTCTAAGTTTCTTATTTACATTAATTATAATCAGGGAAGTTCGTGTCTGCGCATCGACGGCAGGCGCCGTGAGATCCTCGACACGCAAGCAACGAGGATATTAATCGGAACAGATTTAAAGCAGCTTTTAACTTTTAACTTTTAACGTTCGGCGGTGAAATCGACTTTCCGCACTTCATCGATTCGAACGTTTTAAACGAGAGTTTCGGGACGATTCTGTTTCAGGTTGGGCTTGAACAACAATTGTGGTAGACGGACGCATCGCGAAGAATATATTTAACAAACTGCCAAAGTTGAAGAGAATCTAGATTAACGCTACAGAAGAGAAATAATTCGTAGCTTAGTTATACGTGTTGCCTCGTTCTAAGTACATGTAAGTTAATTTACCACGAAAGTGAAATAAAAGATTGTTTTTGACCAGCTGTTGTACCCTCGATCGTGGAAAATACCCGTATCAACACGTTGCGTTTTATTCTTATTACGAAGAAATTCCGTTCCCGACCTACCTTTTCCTCGCTTTCTCCTCGAAAACGTCCTGTATTTTCTTCTTTCGCGTTACTTGTCCGCTTTTTTTTTTGTCGCTACATCACCCTTTTCTTTGCCTCTTAATGGCCTCGCGTGAAAGACCCAAGACGCCCACGAGAACAAGGGTTCTGGTCCCTTGCGTAGTTCCGAAGGTACCCTTTGGTTCGACGGTATTCGTAAAAGTCGATGTGAAACGATTTCGTTGTAGATTGGATTTGGCCGACGTCTGTAACTCACAGCCATGACCATTGTCACTGTGAATTGCATTGCCTGGGGTTTTGGAGTTCTGATTTCTAGAGATCTCGCGCCTTTCAGGCTACCAGCACGTAAGAGAAGGACAAACCTCTACAACGAAAACCTGTCCCAACGAGTTTTTATTAAAACGCTTCGATCCTTCGGAGTATCATTATATTGGTCCAGAATTCTGAGTATCGTTATAATATGAGAAGGTTTAACTAATATTCATCGAAAACAAAGCGTCACTTACCTTCGTATCACGCGAAAATAAATGAAATGACTCCGTCTAATTTATACTATATTTTATTAATTTTAACAAGTGTCCGTGTGTGTCGGTTTGTCGTGTCTCTGAATGATCGTGTCCGTGTATCGCGTGTGAACATGTATAAGTATTGCCATCGGTACATACAGCGTTTTAGACATTCATTTTTTGTATCTTTTGTTTTCATTTCGTCACGCTTATCGTTAGTCTCGGCAAATTAAAGATTCACCGCTTACATCTATGCCCTGTATAGACCATTCGTAGTATTAATTAAGAAATTCATAGGAAAAACGTAGTTATCTCGCACCCAGAGCGACACACTCTCTCCCACTGGACACTTAACGCGTTCCGCTTCGTTCGTTTAATTATTTTCTTCTCGCGTTTTCGAGGAGGTAGAAATCAGCCTCCTTGCGCGTCCACGAGTGAATCTCTCGTGAACAGGGTGTCGGTACAGAAGCCCTGGATATTTTCGTTCGAGCCTCCCGCAGGCATTCGTATACGCTCGCGATCGTCGCCGATTAAATATATATATTTACACAGATGTACAGACCCGCCATCGTACACGCTTCGTACGCGGTACAGACACGTTACACACGTCGCGTACGTTTACCATATACATACATATCTATATACAGAGAAGGGAACGTATCCAGGTTAGAAAAATACACCAATTTTACGCAGGATCAGTAAGAAACTTTTCAATGTACCTTTAAGCGCGTTACGCTAGAACAGAATGCTAGGCTTTGTTGGTTTTCGCTCGATGCGGCTAAATTACGCTTCATGGCTGCACTTGGGACAGTTGCCAACTTCATTCGACCCTCGACCCTTTCACCGAAACGTATATCGTTCTGACAACACGAGTTTCCTACATTTTTTAACAGACATCTTCATCGAGTTACTTTTATATTCTCGTTGATTTAAATAAAAAACTCGTTGAAGGAATTACTCCGACTGGTTTATTCGTCGCACCGTAACACGTTGTGTTCGTACAGTTCGAGCGGTGCAGTCTCCAACTTAAGCTGTTAGTTTTGGAACGAATTAACCGCATAAGTCGAGGACTTAGTGTACTTGACTGTCTCAACTCCGCGAATTTCGTAACGTTACTCGTATTTCTCTACGCCTAATTCTACGGTAAGCCCAAGCGTTCACACTTCGTCTCGCTGGAAAATTCGTAATTCGAGAAAATTCTTGTCTTTCGAAAACAAAGAACGAACGGGTAGAATGTGTTTACGTTTAATTTTCGCCTATTCCGCGGAACACGTTCGTTCTCTTGTCACGTTCGAGGGGGAAAAGCGAGAAACAATTGGCGCACGTAGGAAAGGCGAAGGCGGTAATGAGAATATGATATCTCGCGTTTCGGTTTAAGGGTTCGTTCGCGAGCAAGAAAAAAATTCCACGATCGTTTCTATACTTCCGGTCTCTCCCTCTGAAACTTTCGCTTCCCCGTTAACGATCCCGAGGGCGAACCTCGAGAACTTTGCCAATTAATAATCCTCCGGATGGTTCCTTTATCTCGCGGCGGCGTGAAACGTCACGTGACACGATCCACCGCGAATCGCGAAGCGTTTAAAACGTCACCGGCCGGAATAACGGGGGCGAGAAGTTCCTTATGGCGTTACGGAATAGCACAGAATAATTTGATAAATTTTCTTTTTCCTGTTCCATCTTTGCTCCTAATTGGTACGGCGAACGTACTCGCTGGTTCCAAGAGCAATCCACGTAGCAATAATAAAAGAAACAAAAGAAACATGCCGCGAGAGTGTAAAGTTCGCAGTCGGTCGACGGTAGATTTACCGCGCAAAACGAAATGGATTTTCATAATTGAAGAGCTTATTTCCAGAACGTCGTAAATCCAACAAATAAAAAGCTGAGAAAACTACGATTTTCTGGTAAGTACTGGAAGCATACATTTTTAGTTTGTTGCAAATTATTAGTGAGAGCTTTGCCTATCGAATAAAATACGAATATTCATTGTACGACTACACAGTGAAACACAGTAGTCCAAAGGTAGGTGCCTAAATTTTTCGGCAAAAAAAAAATTTCAAATCGTTTTAGAAAAATTATTTTCTATTGCAGGGGTCAATTTCAATCATTTTTGGTCAATAGACATACCCTCGAATTCCTACAGACTATCGAGAAAAAAATTCGAGTATGTAGAAATTTTTCGGCGAAAAAAAATTTTTTTAAATCGTTCTGGAAAAATTATTTCTAGTTGCAGGGGTCCAGTACAATCATTTTTTGTCAATAGACATATTACCGAATTCCTACGCAGTATCGAGGAAAAAATTCCTTTCCGAAAATATGTCTGACCATACCGTTGATATGTTTCACTGAAATTTCATGCGTATCTTTAAACCATCATAACTTCTGAACGGATTGTAGGATTTTAATGTTTAAAAAAGCAAACGATGCGTATTTTAATGGAGAATATGTTGGAATTCCAAGAATATTCGGAAAGTTGTTCCTTGACCCCATAAATTGAGAAAAACCCCATAAAAGTGATCCAATTTTCAAACGTCCACAACTCCTACAGTAGTCAATGGATTTAATTAGTTGGAAATAAGCTCCTAGTCTAATCCACGATGCCCAAGTGTTCTACTTATTGTTAAAGGGTGTTCAGTAAATCATTTCCATGTTAAGCCAGTTTTAATGTGTAAAGTTTAAAGCACAATCTGGGCGTTTTGATCCTGCGTCGTGCAACGCAAATGTAACTTCTGTCCGCTGACAGTCGCGTTTCCGTGTCAACGAAAAACCTCGAAACGAACTACGACGTAACGCACAGTTTCAATAAAAGCTAGCTTTATCACAATTCATCGAGAAGAAGTTTCCCTATTGTTCTGCCTAGCGTTTAGCGATACACTCTCTATCGTTACCTCTAGTGTTTGTTAGTAATTGCGGTGTACCTAGGATTTCCTTTAGCGCCAATCGCTGCTGTAATTCGTTAGTCTCTACAGTTATTTACAAATATACATTGGAAGTTTTACGGCTACGCGATAGAACGTGTTCGTAGAACTCATACACAGTAAAAAGCTTTGATTGTAGACGTTATTGCGACAGTACGGGCCACGCGAAACGCCTGTACGCTCGGAATTGGATAAACGTACCGGTTCAACAGTAACGACTATAACGGATCGACTGTTTTTTGCAGTTGCAGTTAAACATACCACAGAAATTTAAACGATCGTTTTATAATCGTTCGAAAAAACTGTAATTTTGTGAGAAATAACCGTAACGGCGTATTCAACGACTTGCCTGGCTTTAGTTTTTGAAGCATTTGCATCGTTTCAAAGCCAATCGTATTAATATTCAAATGTGATGCCGCTGCTTGGGAAATGACCGTACAGAAGATCACTCAACACGCATCTGATGCTGCATTTTTAGAGTAGAAAACGAATTTTTTCCACATTTCTGTACGATTATTTCTCGCAGAATTACAGCACTTTTTCGCTATTTTTCACGAGATCGTATAGCGATCCTTTAACGTTCCGGGGCAGCGTATTAAGGTTAGTTTCACTGCTAGGAAGAATATTACTTACCGAAGACCCTGTATTTATTTAGCTAGAAATCCGCTTAAAGCAGGCGTATTAAACACGCTGCCTGATTTAATAGATTCTGTGGCCCGTTTGATTAGTATTTTCTTTTTATTTGCCATCCCATCCATGCTCTGGAGGGAATTTATAAATTCGATAGTAACTAAGTTTGCTTATGAAGTATAGACTTAAAAAATTTTTAAACAATTCCATCGAAATTTAATCCTGAGCGCGATGTGGTCTCACGTTTTGTTGTCGATCGCTGGTACGTTTATCCCATTCGACTTAAAGGTATCAACGCCATCGAATAAACATAGATGTCCATAATTTGCATTACAGAAAGAAATGAAAACGCAATTGTAATTTTTGTTCGAAAGGAGGAGTCGATATGTTCGAACTGTCAAACGAGAAATACACCCTTGAGCTTTGTGTTTCGCGTGTCCCGTTTCACGCGTGCTAGCGTAGACGCGTCTCGGATGCCAATGCACGGCCAGGTGCCTCGTATTCGTACTGATATGTTTGAAAATTCGCTCGCGGGAGACTTCATGGCCACTCGCGGAGATCGAACAAGAAGCTCGTACACGGTATCGATGAGCTCGATACAGGTGTTTCCGGCCCCGTCGTCCGTGTTCCGTTGTCTGTTCCGTGCACGCGCAACGTTTATCTTCGCGGCAGAGTTCCTCCGCGATATTCGAGGCACGAGGAAAAAAAAAAAAGAACGAGACGACGATTTTCCCGGAATCGATTTCAGTTTCCTCGCCGTTGGACGGGAACGTTCGGTGCAGTTAACCCGCGATAGACGGTACATAAGTTTTGATCGAGGCGGGCGCAACGCGTAAAGTGATTGACAGAACGGAAAGGCGGAAGGAAGCTGAAAGAAAACGGGGATAAAACGGATCTCTTAAAGTTCGAATCGAATCCGGTTACGAAAAATAGGTGACTCGGACCAGTCGCGTCGACCGTTTCGCGTTAAAGGATGAAAGGGTTCGAGCATGCAAAAGTTGAAACGTCGCGACGCCGTATATCGGACGTGTTCGACGAGCGAAACTTCTGTTCGTTCCCCGCGGTTGGTAGGGGTTGAGTTGTAAAAGACCAAAGAACATGGATTTTTCGATCTCCTCGTGTTGATTTGCAAAGTTCGCGAGCAGAGTCGCGGTAAAGTTTTACTTTGGGTTTGCCGTGCATCTCGTTTGCGGACGGTCCGCGACCGGTGACATGGCGATAGAATCGTGACGAAGAAGACGGTCGAGCAGAGGTACGCGTTTTATAAATACGGCGAATCGTTTCCGCTTTGAGCCAAATAATATTGCTACGCCTTACGAGCTACGGTAATACTGCCACGGCATATTTAATATCCAACGAAGTATAATATCTACAACGTGTTCTCGCTCGTCGATTACCCGCTCCATCAACCTCGCGTCTCGTTTGCCACCCTGGACGATCCGCTCGGCCACCGTTCGCCATCTTTCGTTTTAAACGACGATCCATGGATCCCCGTGTTGTGTGTTGACATTTTATCCACATTGTCGCGTGCCTAATACCGTGATGATCCTTTTATCGGACTAATTAGTCTATGTGTTCGTTTGGTAATTCAGCTCTAACATCGACGCGCTCTACGTCCGGTTTCATCGTCGTCGGCGACTTCGATATCCACGGATGCGATTGCGCAGAGAGCGCTCTACCGATGGTTTTGGTTCTCTGATGGAAAACACACGGGAGAAAGCGTGAAATTTAATTCCATCCCCGATATTAGCCGGGATTTAAATGATTCGGCGCGGGAAGAAGTTCGGTGCTTTTAATTTTACACGTCGCGGAGCTTCGAATTGAAAATCCAACGCCGACTCGAGGGAGAGTTGAAATTGTTTAAAAACGGATAAAGAATTCAATTATACGGTGAAATATTTCGAATAAAATTCTGTCCAATTCCAACCTTGACCAAAAATCCTTATAATATCCAAAAATAGTTTCACCGTGCATGTCAAGGTGCGAAAGATGCAATCTTTTACGAGCTACTCGAATCGGGCAAAACAGTGGATCGCAATCTCGCCAATGACTCACTTCACGCGATGTTGGACAGTTTGGAGCGGTATTGTGGCGTTTCTATCGTATTGGAATCCGCACGCTACTCGAAAAATCGAGGAAAGTAAAAGTTCAATAGAGAAAGCACAGAACCCTTTCTTACGCTCACCGTTTAATCGCGTTCGTGCTTTTGTGTACAAAGGACGATGCAACCGAAAGCTGCGCTGAGTACTTTGACGCGACGCCCGACAGTTCGATCCGACGAGAGACTGTTACGTACCTTCTGTCGGAACAAATGTTGAGCTGTTCGATTGTCCAGTGCCTTGTTGTTTCTCCGTGTTCCAAGACAAACATAATTATGAACGGAGTCGACCGTTTAAAAGCTGACCAGCTTGTGGAAGGCTTTGCGAAACTCGGGATTGAACACAGTGTAGATCACGGGGTTCACGAAACTGTTCATGTAGCCCAGCCAAGAGGTCACGATGAAAGCTGTGACGCCCGGCTGGCAAGTGGCCTCCAGCTTCGTGCAAAGCGCGTCCATGATGTTACACGTGAAGAATGGCAGCCAACAGATTAAGAAGACACCTGAAATTATCGTTAACGAGACAGTGTTGGTGCCTGGATAAAACGATTTCGCTTTTCCCTACAATCCAACTTGTAAAGAGTTATTTTAGAGTATTTTATATTATTCTGCAAATTGTAGTTGAGTGTTCTCCTGGACTATTTCTTTGTCTGTCTAATAAATACGTAACAGATGGATCGAAAGCAATCTGTGCGACGTACCTAGAACGATGGCCAGCGTTTTTGTGGCCTTGCGCTCCTTTTTCGCGGAGCTTTTCTCCCTCTTCTTCTTGCTGGCCTTGTTAGCTTTGTATATCGTGAACCTCGAGCCGGAGGCGGCGTTTTTCTTGTCCTTCTTACAGGTGGACGAGCTGGACAAAACGCTGGGAGTCCTGCCAAGCTGAAGAGGAAGAAGCGAACCGGCGCTCTTGAGCCTCTTCAGCTCCTGCTTGTTCGTCTCCGCTCCGTTCTTCTTGGTCTGGGAGCTGGAGCTGGCGGCGGTGCCTCTCGGGGGCGGCGACGAGGAGGTGGAGGAGGACGGCGCCGAGGTGCCCCGCGGATTTGGACTCGGGCTGGAATTCCCTTCCAAGGGCTCGTGAACCGCCATGCTGCTCGCCGCCCCGTCGTACCCGGAATCCTTTCTGACGGGTTGCGTTCCGCCCAGCTGGGCTTGGGCAACTGCACTGAAACGACAACTGCAATTCGAGTATCAGTAACATTCCGAGCCGTTTTAGCGCTTCCAGTCACGGCTCCGTGACTCCGGACCTACGAGCTCAAGCGTAAATACGGAGACGAACATTCGTTTCACGCGCTGACACGGAAATTCTGGCGTTAACCGAGTCCACCATACACCCACGCCGAATAAACATAAACCTTGATACAAGAGTAACGAGTAACACACTGAGCCCACCGACACTTCATGTATATTTATTTAAGAAAAAGTACTGGCTAGTAAATACGCAAACATCCTGTATTTAAATTTAAATAAACAATTTATAATCTAGTTTTATCGTACACTAGTCGTACAATCAGTAGGAATTGCTGAAACTTCTTTAGGAATATAGGGTCAAAGTAAACATCAAAATAAACACAGAAGACAACATAAATGATAGTAACTGGTATAGTCATTGGATAGAGGATGAAATGCCCTTTAAAATGAGCGTTTGTACGAGTCGATAGCTTTATTAGTTCCGGAGATATAGCGATTTTAGTTTCAAGTCGATGCGGTGGCTAGTTCCGGAGATATGAGGGGCGGAAGTGTTTGTTTACATTCTTACTACGGCCTTGCCAAGGTCGTTGACCGCGCGCGCGCATTGAAAAGTAGGTCACTGGGCCACGACAGTCACGAGTCACGTGCGAGAAAGAGAGGTCCGGCGCGACGCGTCAGACGGAGACAGCGATAGTCGAATTAAGAAAAATTACCCCTTTACATAAATTACGATATCTCGGAAACGGAAAGTCCGATCGACAAAAACCAAAAGCCATTTTAAAGGGGAGGCTTTACCGCTTCTAATGATGCCTCATTTGTGGATAAAGCACTAGTAGTTTCGAAACTGCACGCGTCTAAAGTTTTAGTATTTTTAATACGCGTGAATAGGGTATTGTACGTAAGCCGCGCAGTGAGATAGTGGAAACTAAATAATTATCTCTTTACATAAATTACGATATCTTGAAAACGGAAAGTCCGAGCGACAAAAACCAAAAGCCGTTTTAAAGAGGAAGGTATGCCGCCTTTAACAGTGGCTCAATAATTAATAAAACACTAGCAGTTTCGGAACTGCACGCGTCTAAACTTTTAATAGTTTTAATACACGTTTATAGGCTTTCTTAGAATAGAAAGTTGAATCGACATAATTCAAAAGCCATTTTAATTTAATTCTAAGTCAATTAAAGAGGGTTCGATTGAGGCTGCATCTTCCGTGTTCGATCAATACGATGACCACTCCAAGTTGCTGGACCACCGGACAGTCGACAAACAAACGAATCGATTTCACGCTGAACTGGTTTATCGACAGTCTGTTTTTATTTTTCTTTTTTTTCCCCTCCCCCCATTCGATGCGGTCGCGAATAATGCTTCGCGCCAATGAATCAGCGGATCGCTGTCGTAATAACAGTTCCAGGGGGCCGCGGATTGAAAAACCATCGGCGATCTGTTCGCCCAGCACCTGGCGTTTCGAGGGAACCGTGTGATGGGGGGCTAGACGAGAAATCTACCGGGCGTATCTTTCTTAATAGCGGGCGAACTGCAATTAGTCGGTGGCTCGAAGAATTCCAGAAGGAAGATAGCAGACGGAGATACGACTGCGCCAAACAAGAACCGACGCTATCTTAATTCCCGAATCTAGCCAATTAAGATGTAACTTTAGATCGACTTTCGTCCTCCAAAGTAACCGAGAACTCCTTACGTACGACGAGCAGGGAAATAAAATATTCGCCCCTCCCCCGTCGCGTACCATCGATCCGGTATGCCGATCGATTTCTATCGTCTCTTACTTTGTTCTCCCATCCCCGTTTCGGGGGTGACTTAATTCGATCGTGAAAGTTCTCTCGCGGTTTGGAGAACTTGGCTTCCCAGCTTTTCGACGTCTCCCTCCTCTCGCGATCCTCGGGAAATATTTTCCCTGAAAATATGCTTCCGCTGAATTAGGTTGCAACGCAGTTGGTTCTAAGGTTTAGAAGCCTTAATGAAATCGGGAATCTTTATTCCCAGTCCTGGGCTTGACTGTTTTAAACACTCAATTTTAATTAGAGTAAATGCTCGAACGCGGTGAGTTGTAGACAGTGCTAATAGTATTACGGCTTCCCTCGGTAATTTCTTACAAACTTAACGGTTCTGGAAACTCCTCGATAAATCTCCTTACCGTCTCAACATCCCAAGCATTCGAGTATTTTGGATTTTACGGTTTTAATTCGAACGCTCTTATTAAATTCTATTCTGATTTTAGTTTTCCCGGTTAAACAATCGACACTCGCGTTATTCCATGCGCCGTAAAAGTCATGGTCTATACTTCCGACGAAATATCCGCGATTCTGTTTTATAGTCGATGGCGACAGAGATGCCACTCAAATTTCACCGGTCTGTTATGATGTATTACTATTTAGAACGGTCTGTATGATAATACTCCTGCCATAAAGAACACACTCAGCCAAGGGTTGTTCCGTAGTCCTGTCCGGGGGCAATAATAAAACTTTATCGAGCGAAAACGTTATAACGGAAGCGTCGAGAGCAAGGAAATACAGAATATTACGCTTCCATTACCAATGTTGCTGAAATTAAAGAAAATAAATTCAATAAACCGAATTCAGTTCCAAAGTGTCCGACTATAACGCGAAAGCAACGAAGTGGAAGCGCGTAGAATTCAAAAATATTAAACGTTGTAAATAGCAAGAGCCAGGAACCGTTCTCCTCTCGAAAATATAATTTGATTTTAAAGAAGTCTGCGCCGCGGTGCTTCCTTCCCTTTTCGAAACTCGAAAATTGCGGGCGTCTCGCAGCCAGACGAGCGCGTTCCGTTCTTTATGAAGTCTACGCAGTGGCGTCGGATTACGGTTTCTCGGGGAAGCGCGATATTGTGTCTCGAAGACGATACCCACGTTTTATTCGCCCGTGAACCGTCCTCGATATAAATGATAGTCGTCAAATCGCGGACGTAACAATTTTATAAAGTCGCGTCTAAGAACGACGGCGCCGTGGAATCGGAGGGGGCGGGGGATCGACAGGCAACAACGATTTATCACGAATGCTCGTCTCGGGGTGCCTGGATGCGATCGAGAAGTTTATTGGACTCTTACGCTGCTTCCTCGACGACAGTGGCTAAAAAGAACTCCGTGCTCTTGTCGTTCGAGATGACCACGACGGGATCGAGGGGCGTCTCGTCCTCGTCCTCGTTGCTCCCGGACGCCGTGTTCGTCGGTTCTTCCATGCCGGGAGCCACGAGGGCTGTCGCTCCCAGCGCGGTCTCCGCAAACCTTGCCACAGAATACCCACTACGTGATCTTAGTCAAAAGCCTCTAAAAAAAAAAGCTTCTACACTTAGCATGCTTTTAGTATTTCCTCGACGACGAGCGACGTTAATCCGGCAAAGGGGAAAAAATTAATCTATCATGCACAAAGCGATTATGCTTGCGCCCTGCGACCGGTCGCCCTGGCCTCTCCGCCTACGAACAAAGGAGCCCGGCTTCTACTTCGTTGAAAGTTATCTTCGCGATCCAGCCAGTGCATACCTACTCCAACAAGGAACTGCATGCATCTTGATACCTGGATTCTAATGGATTCGAGCGTGAATGACAAATGTCTGGGACGGAGCAGATACTTTGTTCAAAGTATCGATCGTGCGGCAATTTTAATTCGATTTTAACATCATCCGGATAATGGGAACATGCAGTCGTCGGATTACAGGTATCCGGTGACGTTCGAGACAACTTCTCGAGCTTCTCCCGTGAATTCTTGCCGCCGATACTCGATGCAAGCTCGCGAGAACAATTAATAATTTTGTTTCCGAAAGTTCCCCGCCGCGCAACAGCGAAAACAAATAGCAAAGTTTCGGTGGCTCGGCAAATTTCGACGCTAACTCCGCATCCGACGGTGTTAATATCCGAAACCGTTATCCTTATATGCGGACGTAACACAGCCATCGGCTATTTATATCAGCGCGCTGCGGCAATCTTGACTTTGTATATCGAGCGATTTTCGTTACGGGATCGATATGAAAGAGAAAACGCTTTTCCGTTGGAAAAACAACGAGGGGAGAATTTGTGTCCGAGCTTATGGTGAATAGATCGGACCCGAGGGAAGAGGCGAGGTCGCGTAGCCAAAATGTGACCGTCCCTGCGAGCATCTAAGTCCAATTTATCGACGGTGTTCGTACATAGCGAGCCATAAACAATAATTAGGAAGGCGTTGCGTTAACGTTGCTGCGGAAACTCCTTAATCGGGACCTGCATCGCGCAAACCTAAGCGTAATATTTTCCGTACACGAATTTATTGATTGAAACGAGTCACCCTGAGAATAGATGGTAGCTGAGTGGAGTAGGTTAATCGCGGGTCCGATGGCAATGATCGGTGGATAAATGATTGCAAATTGAAGCGCGACCTTCTTTCGAAGCTGGCCCCGCGTACGAGCGCAATCGTTTCGATAAACTTTCATTTATTTCCGCGGAAAACTGAAACGCGTCGGGACGGTTATTAAATCATCTTCACCGTGCGAGACTACGTGCTTTGGTATCGGCTGGCAAGAAAAGCGGCGGATCCCCGGCTCCATAGTCCTCGGCGATGAACAAACGTACGACACTCGGGAACAGACAGGCACAAAAGCCTGCAATTAAATCGAAGGCGAAGTAGTTGGCTATTCAAGGCAAGTGCGCCGACCTCGGGACAACGGAAATGAAGCCCGTTCGCGAGAAAAGCGTATTATCCGTAGATGCTCGGGGCTTAACCTAGCCTTAGCCCTTCCCCCCCGCCTACGTGCCTTTCTTTTCCACGCTCGTTCTTACCTTCTTCCGGGGTCACATATTCTCTCTCTTTCCCGGCGACACCAATCTCCGTGAGAAATCGTCTCGTTGGAATGCAAGAGTTATACGGGGCGAAAATTGAAAAAAATGGCGGTCTCCTCGAGCACGCGACACATTCCAAATGAAGGCTGTTCGTCTTTGACTGCCGCGAAAAGAGTCGTCGCGCGACCCGGCTGCAAATATATCCGTCGCGCTTAAAGGGACGCTCTCCGGTCCATCGGGAATCGTTTCGCCGCGCGAAAATTGAAAATCTACTCCGCCCGACCGACCTCGTTAACCAGAAACTATTATATAGAATTTCTGAAATGTTTCCGACGGAGAATCCTAACAACCCACGCTGGATAAAACGTGTACAGAACTCTCGATCAGTTCTGACATGTTTTCCCCGAGTTGTAATCGATTTTCATTCGACCCTTACTTCGAGACGCTTACGACAGTGTTGTTGTCTGATTGGATGGGTTTGCAGATTGCTGACGAATGTGTTTGTGAAAAGGGAAAACATGCAAGGGAACTTTCCATGCGAGCGGTGCATGCTTTCATTCACGATCAACGAAGTATCCTCTCGAAATCGAAACGAACATCGCGTCAATATCCCTGCATAGATTAGCGATAACACAGGCAAGGAGTCTTTGCATATAATTTCTCCCTTAGCCGGTGCAGATGTTAAATTCCTAGAAAAATCCTGGCGAATTCTGGAAGGGCAGGTGCAAAGGTGTCGGCTCACCTGCGCGTGTGCGCGATGTTCTCGATTATGCATCCGGGTTTTATGTCGCCCAGGTTCGGCTTCCTGTTGGCCCTCGCTTTCCTCGCCCTGTTCCGCAGCGCCTGGAAACGTTAAATTGAAATTGCCCTTTCGGGATAAATCAGGGAACGAGGGTTTCGAGCGCGCGAAATAAATCTTCCCACGGTGCGCGGCGGCAGATAACCTGTCCGACTGCCATTATCGACTGCACATATCATAACAGAGGGATTTATCGCGGCTGGAAAATATTTTTCGTGGCCGGGACGTATTACGAAATTCCATTGTGCATCGCGATGGACACTATTTTTGCAAACGGGTTACAGCTGCGCGTAAAGGAAAGATATTTCATTACTTTACATCGATGTTTCGGGAGGATATCGTCCCCTTCTGCGACGTTAAACCACGATCGACGCTTTTACGACGACGCCCGTGCAACGCGATAGGGTTTTGGTCAAAGTTTACGAACGATCCTGTAACGATCGATCGATTCCTTCCAACCAGAGAATTTCATACGATTCGGTAAGTTTTCAGATTTTACGTAAGAAAGAGAACCTTCGCGCAAAGGACGACTCCAGTGTGCAATTTCGTGTTACACGAGCCGTCCGTCGGCGTCCGCGACGCGTAAAGCGAGGAATGTAATTATCACGCCGTGTTCAAGGGGGTACTTTAAGGCGTCCTCCAGACTAGCATCGAGACGTCTCGCGTCGTCGGGTATTAATAACGCGACAACGAAGACAGCGGTGCAAAGAGAACGTTCCCGGGAATCTCGGCGGGCGGAAAATGTTGGAACAAACCGTATTTACGATCGACCGCTGCATAACCGCAAAATACCGCGTATCCACGGTACGCTTTGTTCCATCTGGCGTTAAAATTATATCTGCATAATTTCGGAGACTTTGCTTCCGTTCTGGCGTTATACGGGTCGATACGAGTGTGTGCGCTGTACACGTATTCTTCCCGTTGAATTACGGAGTCGAGAAAAAACGAAATAAAGCTAATCGCGGTACTCCCACAAAAAGCCAACAAAACGTCTCTAATGATAAAATTGTGACTTCTAGCGTGGCGCGTAGAATAAGGTGCCCCCTTTAGTGGGAATTGTTAGTAATTATTTTTAATACTTTCCTGTGATATTTACGAGACCATTTTTGAGTTTGAAACCACGTAAAAAGAATGTATTAAAAAAATTTGTATTTTTAATCGATAGCCTATCGATTCCCACCGAGCAGGAGTAAAAATGGTCGAACGGTTTGACCTGAATAAAAGCTTGCTCGTATCGGCTATCAGCGTGTCTAATTTGTACAACTTTAATTTGAAAGAATGTTCGAAACCTTATTCTGCGTTCTATAAAATGTTGGTAACTGATGTATCGTCGTGTGGTTATTTTAACGCTCGTCGAGGGTGGACAGACTCGCGTTTGCATACGGGGCAATAAACAGATTGCTTGCTCAATTTGCGCGTGTAACGATATTCGATCATTCTTACTTTGAATATGTTGTAGTAGAGGAACACCATAATGATGCAGGGTATGTAGAAGCTGGATAGGCTCGAGTAGATGATAAAGTCCGCATTGTAGAAGAGACATTGGTCCGGTATTCGGTCAGGGGTGTTATTCAAGCCGAGAACAATCGGGCTACCGATCGCGGCCGATATCGCCCAGACCAACAGTATCGTCAGCCATACTCTTCTATTGTTCTTGTGCTTGGCGTACTTTATCGGCTGGGTCACCGCGATGTATCTGCAATTCAAATTCGTTTCGCGTATCGTACAGTGTCCCACGACTCGATCGTCGAATCGACGTCGGATCGGCTAATGCAACGAATTAATTTCCACTAAATAATAAGTGGCTTGGTTCTCCAGTGATTCGGAACGAAATTCACTTTTTGAGGAAACTCGATCATTTCTATTTCACCGTCCAACCTTTTTAACAGAAACAGATATTCATGGCTACGCTTTATAAACGGTAACGATCCGCGTTCTTTCGCCCGGTCGGAAATAATGTTTTCCGCGGAAAGAAACGCTGATTAATCGATCCGTTGAATTAACGTTCGGTCTTGGGAATTCCTGGAAGATTCAGATTCTGCGGAGCTCCGAGGGAAAAACGAGGGAATGCGCCTTTAATAGAGCGTAGTCGTTTCCCCGCATCGGGACGTGCATATTTTAACATGCGGATCCGAGAAAGCGCGGTATCAGTCACTCGTCCGTACCCCATTTCCGGTTGAACGCGTCCTGCCTCGGAACTACGTGCGACACGACGGTATCGCGAAGTTACTTTCAGCCTGTACGATCGAAATTGATGGTCCCGCGTTTAATGCAGTTCGAGGGAGGAGAAAAAGGGAAAAGAAGAACGGGAAACGCAGTTCATATTAGTATGCACGGACCCAGGCTACCGTCGAACGAATTCTATCAATTCTGCGTAACTTCGCGAAAGCGATTCAGTTTGTTTTCTCCCCCGACTGCCAGTTCCGCGGAAACTTCTAACCAGGCTCGCGACCACCATACATTTTTTACAAGCCACCGGTCGGTTTTCTCTTTTCTTTCGAACTTGTCCACGGTTATTTGGCTCGAGGCGCGCGTGAAATTTTTATTCGCGGAAGTTGAAGTTCCAAATTGATAACGTTATAGTTGGATGGTACAAGTGTTTCACCTGTCTATCGAGATGGCTACGAGGTTGAAGATGGAACTGGTGCTGCACGTGACGTCCATCGCGATGTAAAAGTCGCACACAAAGCCCGGCAGGCTCCACGATCCGTTTACCTGTAAAATGAATGGGCAAATTGTGAAGATTAAATTCGCCACCGAATCACGGCTGCGGAATTAACTTTCATTACACCGTACAGCTATTGTTTCGACGCAAATTAATGGTGTCCGATTCGCACGGCATTCCGCGCAAATCACCAGAAACGCATGCAAACGGATGTGCAATTATCAGTGCGTTCGATGGAACAACTGCGCGCTGTTAGGAATGAAACGGTACACGAGATACGTTACAACCGGATAAAAGTATCTGATTCCGTAAAAGGCTCGTGCATATTTTTCAAAAGCGATAACGAGCCAATTTTTTCCTTTCAACTGTTGCAATATACGAGCACCGATATCGCGAATTGAATCGACGTTTCGGTCACCGAGCACTGCGATCCTCTTCAGGAAAGGTAAATAAAATCCTGTTTGCTCGGAAGGAAAAATATTCCCCTTTAATAATTGGAAATAGAGCTAATATTCTAGCCCCGCGTTCCGTAAAATTATCGTTTTCTTATTCCCCGGCCGTATTTCCGGCCTGAAACGGTGCACGAGTGTCCTCGAGAACCGTTGTCGCTGGAGAAAAAGGCATTCCGAGAGCTTTCTCCGCGGAATCAAAGAGCGTTTCGTTCGAATCAAAAGGCCAGCTTTATCTTTGCTCTTTTGCATTCCGGCCGGCGCGCTTCTTCCTTTGCCCTCCCTTTAAGCCTCCGCATCTTCATCCGCCTTTTTATTCTCGAGAGCGTGGTCGACGGGGCCTGCGCCCTGCAAGCTGCCAGAACGAGCGAATCCGTGATTTATACGGAACAACCGTGCCTCGGTTGCGAAATTCAGACGCGAGGTAAACGCGTCTACGCGTCGACCACGTACGTTTTCCGTCAGACCTCTCCAAAGGGCCCCCATTTTCTGCCCTATTCTCGATTCAATCGAATCGCTCGGCATTCGAACCGCAAATCGACCAGAGTACTGTAACCAAAGTACCGCAGCTGTAGCCGGCTCCCTTTGTTCTTCGAATGCATCTTGGGGGGCTCGCGTTTCGTTGCATACGGAATTCCCGTGGTAACGAGCGTTTCGTTGTAAGTCGAAAATGAATTTAGAAAGCTGTGATCGAATACCATTCGTCTGGCATGTCCGACCAATGCTCGATATTTCTACTTGCTCCGGCGCGTCCGACCAATCCTCGATATTTCTACTTGCTCTGGTATCCCAGTCTTACTCTATTTTCTCGTAAACAAAGTCTCGTATGAAAAAGCGTTATTCTACAAATATTCTTCTACACACTGTCCACATTTTTACAGACTACGATCGAGTGGTTATTTCATCGTTTGCTAATAGTTGTACCAGCTTACGTTTATCCTAGGAACACTCGCTATATTTCCGAATAAATTCTCGTTTCCTCCGAGACAGCATCAATATTACCAATGTGGCGTTCAATTTTTCCGTTCGTTGGCATATCCAAGAGTCCACGCACGCACAGTCTCGGACCAAACGATGATGGACGAACGTTTCATTCGCACGGTCGTTCGCGAGGGAGAATTGCGGTATAAATCGCAAATCTGTTCAATTCTATTGCTATCGACCACGCTCCGCAACGTGCACTCCGATTACTCGTGGAGCGCATTAGCGAATAGTATTAAGTTGCGTTACCCGTAGGCTTGACTATCGGTTTATATCGATCCAGACCGCAATATAGTCACGTTGTATACGTAGAACCGTAGCGAGCAACACGTCCGATCTATCGGTACTTTACGACGCCATAACGTCAATGAAATATACAACGTGTGCATGATACAATGTTACTCCTTCTGTCCTTTAATACACGCTCGCGTTTCGAATCTGACGCAAGCGAACGACGAATAACGAACGATCGCATAGTTTACGAAACGCAGCTGTTCCCTGTTACGAAGGAGTCGGCTGAACAAATTTTTGTATCTCGAACGGAATAAATTCGTCTACGGTTCGCAAGGATCGCTTTTTTCTATTTTGGCGAATAAACCTAACCGTGTTGTCCCGAGTTCCCTTGCACGAGATATGAGATACGAAGAAAGAAAACAGCGTGCACGTAATCGTTTCGAGATTCAAATCCAGGATTACTCGGTTGCAAATAAAGGCGATAGTTTGTGTTACCGTTCCGGGCTGTTGTTTAGCTTTGTAGTTTTCGCGAAAAAATTGGATACCATAAAGCCTCGACTTGGAATAGACCTGGAACAGCAGCTTCAAGGGATAAAGATTGGCAGTTTCTTGCGTAAATAAAACAATAACGATATATCATCGTAACGAGTGGCTTATATTGCGTACCATTTTGGTATTCCTCGGAACAATAGAATAATTTAATCTAAAGTAACTGCCGTGTCGCTCTAGAGAAACATACACGAGCGTGACGAAAGTTCTCTCATACGGTGAAATAAATTTTTTACTACCATTGTGGTCATACTCGTTTAATAATCTTTTTTCTTCGCTCTTCTGTAACTGTTTCTTTCTTTAATAAAACGGCAGGCTTATGTAAATATCATAAAGAACTCGGTGTATAGAAATAAAAATGAAATACCGATTGTTTCCGACGCGAGGCACGCAACGCAGATCGTTTTGATTGCGAGCGTTGAGTAGAAAAGAAGTTCGATAGCATCGTTGTACTCGTTAATTAGTAGGTGTGTTCGTACAATTAATAAAATTAAATTTATCGTACAACGCGCGATGACGTTTCAGATACAGTAAATCACGGCTGTCTTAGATCTCTTGCAGTGACATGCAATTGAAATACATTTCAGGATATCTGAATTGCAGCATTTTCCAACGCCTCTCTCTGTTTCTCGACCAGTCAACAAAACGATTCTGCATAAATTTGCAATCATAACATATTGAAATAGAAATCACCATCGTTATTTTATATTTTTTATATGACTGGTAGCTATCGAATATGCGCGATCCATCGTTTTTGAAATAATGAGACTGCTACAATGGATTTGGGGCGCGTATTTTTTGGGTATCGCGAGGCTCCGGATGCAGGGGAACGTGAAAATGTCGCGAACCACGACGACGATGGAGATTTAACGCCGCGGCTCGATTTTTCTACTTATGTTCCGGTGCGACGAAAAAGAAACCGCGACGAAAATAATGAACGCTCGAAAGCAGGAAAGCGAGAAAGATTTTGACCGTGCGCGAAATTCGAAAATCGGCCGTGAGTGGCGATGTATCCGCGCAAACAAACGGTCTTGCGGAAGTAGCAATTAGCGAAAAGTAAGTTTGTAATTAGTTCGTTGGTATCGCGCGAAACTTCAGCGATTATTATCCCCAGTATCGTTGTAACGTGTTCGCAGGTTTCATAATTAAAATGTTATGGCAGTTTCCGACGAGTTGCGCGGTAATGGAATACAAACGGAAAATTCCTTGAATTATAACGCTCGACGGATTCCACCTGCAACGCAGGGAAGTGCATTTCCTTCGACAAATGTTACGCTACGTCTCATAAAAACCCCAGAGACGTCGTCTAACGTTTGTCGTTATGGCGTTCGATGGCTGCGCGTTTTTCTATTCTTTCGAGGATTGCTTTTACTGCTTTACTCCGTTTCCTCCGAGATGCCATTAAACGTTGGAAATGCTGTCACCCTTGACTCTCAAAGGAGTCCCGCTCCGCGAGCGAGAAGAATGCGGACATATCGGAACGAGAATTTCAATTTAAAGAACGCCCGAACAATGAAGCAAAAAGATCCCGGCAGAATTACGGAAATAAAGTTTGCTCTTATTGGCCGTGCTTTTGATCAATTTTACGACGAACCAACGATTTTAAACATGGTCTAGCGAAAATAGCGGAAAAGATTGAAGCTTTTTCCTCGAGATTCTTGGGCCAAAGGAAACCTGTTCCCCGCGAAGAAATACTCTTTAGTTTGCAACAATTAGATATTTCGATTGCCCTGAATCTATTATTCCTCGCGAAGTCTGACCATATACACCTCGTGACTACTTCCTCTGAATATCTACAGTAATCAATACGAGGGATATTTTTGTTACGTCGTATCAATGAATGGATCTTGCAATGATTTGCAATTCAGAACCAAGAGAAGTTCATTTTAATAAGGGAAGTTTCTGTTTACAACTGCTTACAAATTACAATTCCGTACCGAATAGCGAGTACGAAAATTCAGATGGGTGAACTAATTTCCTGTTTGATTACAATTTATCGATTTTTTAAACCCGGATCCAGGCGAGCAGAAACTAATATACAAACGGATCCGATGTTCGGCGAGGAAATAATTCCTAGTAAATTTCCAAACGATCGGATAACGGAAACAATTTCTGTTTGTTTTAACTTGCATTCCCATATCTGCGACTACTCCATTTCCTCTGCTATCTTTTAGCTATCGAATCCACAGAATACCTAACGCTCCACCCTTACATTCGGTTTCGTCCTATCTCTCAAACTCCTTTTCTCTCCAAAGTCCTTGGGAAACTCTGTGCCTCGCGACTACAAATGTTTATTGGCTCCGGCGGTGTTGTGTCCGTTTTCCAATCTAGGTTTCATAGCAGTACTCGGCACTGCAACAGCGTTATCGCGCGATTCTGATACTGTCCTCCGTGCTTTCGACTTGCGCCGTGTTGCATGCACTACTACTTCCCCCCCGGAGTTCACAAAAGCGTTTGACACGATTGATCACAACCTGTTGATTGTTAAATTACAGAACTTCGACCTCCCGCCGAGTGCTGTAACTTTTCTGCGATCCCGCTTCCCCCGATCCACTCAGCAGATTGTCCTCGATCGTGTCAAATCCTTTCTATCTGCCGCCAGGTCGACCGTTCAAGGATCCCTAGATCTTCTTTTTTCTTCTACCACGCCATGGTAATGACCATACCTGTTCTCCGTCCGCGTTGCACCGATCAAAATTAAAGTATCGACGAAGAGTTAAGTAATTAAATAAATAAGCAACTAAGAACTTTCGACAGAGTCTCGGAGATCGACGTTTCCAGCGTCGAAGATTTTTCCCGTGGAGGCTCGAAAACTTGGAGCGAGAGGAAAGTTTAGA